CTATAACATCACTACATAGTATAAAACAAAGTCGCTATCCGCCGTCTGTCTGTCCCTATGTATGATTAGATCTTTAAAACTACGCAACGGATTTTGATGCGGTTTTTTTAAATAGGTAGAGTGATTCTTAAGGAAGGTGTATTGTATAATACACGCATATTGCACCCGTGTGACGCCGGGGCGGGTTGCTAGTAACATTATAAATGTGAAAGTTAGTGTTTATGTTTGTTACTCAATCATGTCTAAACGGCTGAAGGGATTGGGCTAAAATTTGGAACAAGGATAAATTTATGTCTATATATATTTAGTCTGGAATAACACATAGGTTGCATTTTATTCCTCGGAAACACGGTTGACGCCACGGGCAGAATGTAGTGTAGCCATAAAAACTACATTTGATTTGAGATACTAGAATCGTTGTTATCTACACATTCTACAATATTGAAAAAGGAATGCGAATTTATTTAAAAAAGCATTTAAAGTAAATAGAATCATTGTTTTATAAATTCGAAGGAGTTAATAATATTAATATAATAATAATAAAAGTCTGCAACTCTGGTGTAGTTCCCCAGAAATGGAACCTAAAATACAAGTATGTTTATATTATATATATTATAATTATTACCCATCGGTAGTTTGGATTATGCTCCCGCTACTGGTTGGCTCCTATTTTTTATATTATTTTTTATTTTATAAGTAGTATTTAAAAATGTAATTTATAGAGAATTAATTTTAAATAAATATATGTCAATATTAATAATATTGTTGTTTAATGATTATGAATACCTAATACTTCCAAGAGTCAATCTGCTTAGAAATAAAAGGCAATGGGAAAACAAACATAAGTAATTGTCCATCCGTTTAAAGTTATATTATACAGTTCAGTTTTATAATCAAGATCGTTGTATGTGATCGTTAGATACTTGCAACATATTTTCATTATTTTGAACGACAACGTCCCTATATGCTTGTATGGAGTAAATCTTTAATAGGTTTGTCCATCGTTCTTATTTAGCTAAAAATATATCATATAGAATGTCATTAGGTATTTTTTTACACGGAACAAAAATAAAATTAACAATTAAAATGTATTAAAGTAAAAATACATAACACTACGCCAGCATGACTTAGCAAGCTTGTTAGTAAGAAATTCGCTATGGAGCCGAATATGCCAAAACACATACCTACTTGTATACCAACTGTACAAATAAGTATGCCAAATATAATATATATGTACCTAGTTCTTTATATTTATATGTCACTTATTATAGCCAATGTAACTTGCCCCATCTGCGGACATGTGTGTGAAAATGAATTAATAAAAAAATGCGATGATTCAGTGGATACATCTCGAATTTAATCATTTAGTTGACTATTAAGTTTTTTTTTGTGTTCGAATAATCTAAAATTAAAATGAAATACGGTCTTTTTATTATTAATACTGCTATTCATATATAATCAGTGCGCAATTATGAACTAGTACAGAATCATGGTTTGTGATTGTGACTGGTGTGTGACTAGTCTGTCTACCCCCAATGGACAGAGGCGTGACCATATGTTCATATAAAGAAATATAGTCATCGTCATCAAGAGAACACCAGAATAAAATAATGTGGAGCATACAGAAACACAGGAGGGAGAGTTATGTATGCGTATTGATATAATAATTATGTGTCTACGTATTACAGAAACGCCGAGGGCTCTTCCCTTCAAGCCTGTACATTCTATAAATAGACATCTGGATTGTCGTCGATCAATAAATACAGGGGTAGAATAATACACGATATTATACAGTCAACCGGTTTCAAATTGACGATGGATCATTTAGATAGAAATACAAACATATTGAACCAGATGGGTTATTACATTCTCAGAATCAAACCGAGTGGGTCGTACATAGGTCATAATCGGCATACTGTTACTAATGAATGCAGCTTTTCATAGCTTTGTTTTTAATGAGACAAACCCGCCACAACCTCTCAAAACCGCTGCAACTCCTGTAAGCCAGGATCTACAGTAGACACAACCATGAAAACACCAGAATACTGAAGTACAGTATACCGGAACACTGAAGTACCGGTGCGTCCCAGGGACATGAATAACTGTCTTGGTTCCCGCAACGAAGTGAATCAGAAGATATCATAAGAGAAGAAAAAAAAACGATAGTTTCCACTTCCCTCGGTGAATTACTGCAGGAGACAGAGTGAATTAAGCCTAAAAGCACAAAGAAACGAGACTGTACAACTGGGTGAAGCCCAGTCGCCAAGCACCACGGAAATTTGACTAAAATCTAAGTGGGTTCTATGTGTGAGCTGTTATACTTGCTACCAGTAATAGGAATGGCAAAAGCGCCAATTTCATAGCTTGTCAAACTCAACAACCAAACTGATAACTGAATAATGAGTTATTTAGGTGAGAAACTCTTATTACAGCGACCGACGTTCGCGTTGAATTTACTTTAGATAACATTGTAGATTTTGGACAATTTTACTTACTGTGATTAGATACTGTTGAATATACGAACTGTTATGAACAAGACCTTATTGTAAATTACAATCTAATCAATCCTTACATTGTTGTTAACAACTATTTATAGAGGTTAAAGTCACAACGTTAAGTGATACTGCTGCTAATACCTTTAGGAACAAAGCAATGAGCATGGAGAGGAATTTCGTCTTGGTCATTGTTAATCCTTCCACAGGCAAAATAAAGTATTACCCACGCCCTTTGAGAGCACAAGGAGAAGATTAAGTGACCTCCTTCATCTTATCTAGGTGTCAGGTAATGAGAGAGCTGGGAATTTCCGACCATCAGATACATGAAGAAGATCTAATCAGATCAGTTTTCTCTAACAATAAGTTCCTGGAAGGCTTTCACTCATGAATTAATTCCTTCTTACAGCACAAGGACTTACCACCTCCCCCTAACATGGAAACAAGCCCAGATGAGAGTGGTCTAGGAAACTTGAAACCATTTTGCATCAAACAGCTGGACAAGGAGTTGATGAACCCTCTGATCAATGGATCTAAGCCAGTCCTATGGAAGGGTAAGATTCTGCCAGAAGTAGACTAATGTATGAGTCAACAAAGAACGGGAAAGTGTGTGTTTACCAAAGTGAGAATGAAGGTTCATTGTTAGAACTTTTTCTGAAGCTCTGCCAGAACGTAGAAAATGGGAAAGTTATATATAACTTAAGTTCCATGAAAAGCTCGATAAAGAAGAAGACACAAACCCTTTGAAGAGGTCGTTAGGGGTGGATCGGAAAGGAAAAGTTCACTCAAATAAGGTATTACCAGATATGAGACAGAAAGAAAATAAAGACATTGAAAAAAGATACCTACATAGATGGTATACAGATGTTATTGCAGATTTAGCTAGTGATAGTGAAACAGATATGTATCCTTTCCCAAACCTGGAGCTTGGCGAGATAGAACCCGAGCATCCCATAAGCAAAACATCAAAAGTGGTGTCATTTCCTAAAGGGACTTCCGGTGCGCCATCGTAACAGAACTTATTTGTGTTTTGTATATGAGAAAATTAAAATTTAGTTATAGATGTATATAGTGATCTAGCTACAGAATGTTAGCAATGTTTTGAGATTCTTGACTTTGTAATTTGTGACACTCGATTTTGAGACTGTAAAAAAGCAAGATTAATCATTTGAATGCCGTTATATAAGACACAATACAAGATACATTGTCTCGCGTAGATCTGCGTTGTGGCACACGTTTTTCTCTACGCGGCAGAAACGCGGACAGTACGTGAATTGGAAAAGGGGAAGATAGATGCTCAAGAGATGTGGTGCTGGAGGAAGATGCTTGGCGTATCGTGGACTGATACGCCAAGCATCTCCCTGAGAACTCGGCATCACAAAGCATCTATCAACCATAGTACCTACAAATGCCCAAACTGCAGACTTTGGCCATGTCTCCCGTCGTAATAACAACTCCATAGAGCGCCTGGACGTTTAGGGCAAAGTAGAGAGTAGAGGGATTTAGTTTCCCCTGAACGACCAGTTCCCACCAGTTGGTTCCACCTATGCGCTGGACTGATCAAGTCAAATCGACAACGGGAAACCCAGTGTCAGACTGCACCAGACAATTCACAAACAGGGAAATGTGCACAAGCACAAGAGTGCATTAACGCGGTAAGAGTTAAACATGTTTTTTATGCAAAGTAAAAGAACATGTTTCTAACAGCAAATAAAATGACATTATCATTGAAGATTACACATATGCATGAGATTTGCTTGTCTCCTTACTGTTTAAACGTGGCACAGTTTCTGTTAAACAAATTTTGCACGATTTATAAATGTTTACATTTAACTATTTCATTTGTCTTGAGCCTTAAGTAACATCCTGGGCTCGGAGAACTTTAGATGACATTTCTGGAATTATGTTTAGTGCATTTCAATAAACACATCCTGTACTCTTAAAATATTGCATAATTATGTACCTATTAATTATGCATCTGTCCGTATTGTCAATATCCATCTGTATCTACCACCGGAGTTTCAACTTAAATTGTATTTACGTTTGGGCAAAATATTCATAAGCAAATACGACACTATTAAATAAATTAAGCCTTTTGTTGGCTTCAAATGATTGGTATGCTTCTATGCAGTAATTTATCTATTCAACTTCTTAACCTTGTTACACGCTAGCTCCATAAATCTACTTAATAAATACCGAAGCCCGAGTAGCATGCACTATTAAATTAAACATATTACAAAGAACACACGTAAACATGTTTTATCTACTTATGGAACACGGTTTACACAAGAATTTAAATAGATAAGTAGATGTCTTTAATTTTAGAAGTCGTGACACGTGTTGTTCTTTAATCAGCGGTGTATGAATGACATTCCGTATATTTCAATTTTTTCAAGTTTTTTATGAAATCAAAGGTCTAATTAGATAAGTATCGCGAGATGAACTTATAACATACAAATGTTTAAAAATGGTCTTTATAGGAGCATGATTTAGAACAGCTTCACTTACTTTCAGTTGCATTGGCAGTTTTGTTGGAGCCCGGTGTAGCATTCGACGATGTTATGTTGCTCGTTACAGGCGCGGGATCAGACGACTGGGGAGCAGGTTGCGTTGGGGTCAAGTTAGGCGGCGAAGCTACCGGTGAGGGCAAGGGCGGCGGAGGCACATCTCTTCGCTGACGATGACTATGGTCTAAAGTCTCGACATCATAGCGAAACGGGCTCGAGCTTCCACTGTCCAGAGCATATTCTAAGTTCCATGCTGAAATGAAAAAAATAGAGTTAGTAAGAGTTGTAAGCTAAGATCTAAAGGTAGAATAACCATGAAAACATCGAAACACTGAGGTCCGGCGCATCCCAGGGACACGAACTGTCTTGGATCCAGCATCAAAATAAATTAGAAGTCATTATTTAGGTATTAGAGGAAATAAAACGACATAAACGCATGCATTGAATTACTCGCGAGTGTACTTAATGTAAGAAACAACAATTTCAGCCTTAAAGGCAATATTAATCATATTATTATAGTGGATGTCGATGGTTTAGGTATCACGGACAGTTGTTTTTAATTATTATTCTTAACTGTTAGTCATAGTGGTCATTAAGAGAAACCAAGCGTTGGTATTAATAAACCGAACATACTTTTTCATACACATTACACCTAAAGTTGATGAAACCAATAACTAGTCTGTTTGTGGCTCTTACAATGAATTACACAATAAAATGCAATATGAATAATATAATATACATACACAGCTCAGTAAATTGGAGTCATAAAAGCGGACTTATAAAATAATTCCGACATCATCCATGTCTGCGACAACAACTGTAACGGTCGGCCTCAGAAAAGGCGTCAATTGCTATCATTGTGCAACGCATTGACAGTTTATTTGCTTTAATAAACAATTGTGTTCAATAAGCACAGTGTAATAATGACTTAGATGCATGAGTCAAAGAGCAATTGTTTGTTTATTAAATAGTAAATAGGTACCAGGTGTCACGTTTTATAAACAAACAGTTGAGTGATATATTTCTTTTATTGAAGTCAAGTTTTTACTACGAAGTATACAAAAATACAATTCTTTCTGCGTTGGTAATCTCTAAACTTGTTACGTTTAGTCGAAAAATACTTTACTGAATAAACTATCCAGGGGCATAGCGCACCAGGGCCTCCTAGTTTATCAATACTTGTGTTAATGAGCCACCTAATGTTATATAATACATATTTATCCATTATGCTCACTTATAATAAGGTGCAGGAAAATTCTACGTTGCCACGGGTAAACTAGCTGTCTTAGCTATGCTACGAAATTGGACTTACTACATTTATCTTGAACATTATGTGCAATCATGTTATTTAAAGCCCGATCACAATCTATGTTAGTCTGACAGTATGATAGGGATACACTTGCAGCTGTTAAACTAAGTACTCATTTCGCTAAATTGATTTTTTCACGCAATACAAGTAGTTATACTTCTTTCAATTACTTTAATGTTGCCACGGTAATCTAACCGTGTGAGTATCACATCAATATTGATGTTTAATTTCCGCCAATAAGTGATACCGCATGGAACCAATTGGGCAATCAGATACACAATTGATCAATTATAAACCATTTATCAATACACCGCGTTGGGCGCTGAAACAGCTGGACCGGGAGCTGCTCCTGGAAGCCGCCATCGTGCAGGCCTGGGTGATACCACCGGTCAGGCCTGCTGACATCGACGATGAGGCTATGTGGCTCCAGGACGCCATGTCCAGGATTTGTGACGTGGCGATGCCCCGGATCCGATCGAGGCAACAGAAGCGCCAGGTGTACTGGTGGTCGCAAGAGCTGGCGGCTCTGCGTAAGGCGTGCACTACTGCGCGACGCCAGTACACTAGGCACCGCAGGCGCCGTATCCGTCCTCCTAATGCGGAGGCGAGAGAGGCGGAGTTATACGAGGGATACAGGGCGGCGAAGGCCCTCCTCAAGGCGGAGATATTGCGGGCCAAGGAGGAGGCCCGCCGAGAGATGCTGGGGACTCTGGACAGAGATCCGTGGGGACGCCCGTACCGGATGGTACGCGACAAGCTCCGCGCCTGGGCTCCCCCGCTCACCCAGAGTCTCCGGCAAGAAGTCTTGGAGGAGGTGATTGGCACCCTGTTCCCTCGACTGTGGAGGGGGTTCACCCCTCCGTATATGACTCCGCCCCCTGCGGTGCCCGACGCGGGCTACAGCGACGACGACGACGACATCGTCCCAGAGGTGACCGAGGCAGAATTGAGAGCGGCGGTGCGCCGGATGGGCGCCAAGAACACCGCCCCAGGACCCGACGGCCTGCATGGCAAGGCATGGGTCCTGGCCTCAGAGGCTCTCGGGCCTCGATTGATTGGTCTCTACAGCGCATGTCTGGAGAGAGGCCAGTTCCCGCTTCTCTGGAAAGCGGGAAAACTGGTCCTCGTGCGGAAGACGGGGCGCCCTGCGGACTCTCCGTCCGCGTACCGGCCCATAGTGTTGCTCGACGAGGTGGGGAAAGTCTTCGAAAGAATCATTTCGAACCGCCTCGTCGCGCACCTGACGGACATTGGGCCGGACTTGTCGGACGGCCAGTTCGGCTTCCGCAGAGGGCGCTCCACGGTGGACGCCATCATGCGCGTTAGAGACCTCACGACGGGGACTGCAGTGTCCAGGGGTAAGGTCGTAGTGGCGGTGTCTCTGGACATCGCCAACGCCTTCAACTCCCTGCCCTGGAGCTGCATCTTGGAGGCACTCCGATATCATCGGGTGCCTACCTACCTCCGTCGTGTAATCGAGGCTTACCTGACGGACAGGTCCGTCAGCTACCCCGGTCACCGGGGCGAGTGGAACCGGCGAGAGATGTCACGCGGTGTTCCACAGGGTTCGGTTCTGGGGCCGCTCCTGTGGAACATCGGCTATGACTGGGTGCTGCGCACCGACCTCCCGAACGGCGTTAGCACAATATGCTACGCCGACGATACGCTGGTGCTAGCGCACGGGAGGTCACACCAGGCGGCGGCCGACTTAATGGCGACAGCGGTTGCGACAGTCGTTGAGAGAATCCGGCAGTTGGGACTCGAGGTGGCGCTCCACAAGTCCGAGGCCATGTGTTTTCATGGCCGCGGGAACGCGCCACCTCCGGGTGGGTCCCAAATAACGGCGGGAGGAGTTACCATCGGCGTCGAGACGACGATGAAGTACCTAGGACTCGTCCTCGACAGTCGGTGGAACTTCATTGAACACTTCCGACGTTTGGCTCCAAAGTTGGAGAGGACGGGGGCTGCGTTTAAACGCATCCTCCCCAACCTCGGGGGGCCAAACGCCTCCTGCCGGAGGTTATACGCCGGGGTCGTGCGGTCCATGGCCCTCTACGGCGCCCCTGTTTGGGCGCCTAACCTGTTGCGGCGTCCCGCTCGGACGCTGCTCATGGCACAGAGGGTCATGGCGATCCGAATGATCCGCGGATACCGCACGATCTCTGGGGAGTCGGCGAACCTCCTTGCCGGATTACCGCCGTGGGATCTGGAGGCGAAGGTGCTCGCGCGCGTGCACAGCATGCGCGCGGAGGCACGTCGCCGGGGCGAAACTCCGCTGCCGCGCCAGATAAGTGCGTGGCGGGATGAGCTCCGGCGCGATCTCATGGCGGAATGGCAGCAACGACTGTCGCAACCGAGGGCTGGGCTCGCTGCCATCGCAGCGGTAAGTCCCCTCTTTGAGGAGTGGCTTGAGAGACGCTACGGCGTCCTCACCTACCGCCTGACGCAGGTCCTCACCGGACATGGAAGTTTCGGGAGGTACCTGTGTCTGATGGGGCGGGAGGAAACGCCCGGGTGTCATCACTGCGAGGACCGCCCTGAGGACACGGTGGAACACACGGTGGGAGAATGCCCTTCGTGGGCTGAGCACCGCCGTGTCCTCAGGGAAGTGATCGGCGATGGCGACCTCTCGCGTCCGGGCCTAGTGCAGGCCATGATGCGGAGCGAGGGGGATTGGGATGCCGTCTCCTCCTTTTGCGAAGCAGTCATGCTAGCTAAGGAGGAGGCGGGACGCGTGAGGCAGCGAAGCGCTGCCTCCTCGCAACCCAGCCATCGCGAAGGACACACCGGGCGTCGGGGATCGCGGGACGATCTCCGGCCACCGTAAGCGCGGGCCTGCGGACGGCGAGCATGGGTGGCTCCCCGTCCGACCAGAAACAGACCCGAGCGTACGGCGCGTCGCGTTCCGCGCGCGCCTCAAAGAGCCATCAGACCACCACAGATGGGGCCCAATAGGGCCGATGCCGATTCGGAGTCGCGGAGAACCTAACGGGTAACCGGGGCTCCGGCTCGACGTGCAGGAGAAGGAACGGGGTGGTTTTTAGTCAGTAAGAGTCTGACACTCCCTCCCGCCTCACCCAGGCGGGGGCAGTCATTCGATGATTTTCCCCCCTTAAAAAAAAAAAAAAAAAAAAATAGGGAGACCTATGAATGCAGTTATTGATATACTAATAGGTCTTACATAGAAGCAAAAAATCACATTAGGCTTAATATTTCCCGAATCCATCGTCATTCTCAACAATATTTTTGTACGATGTATTCCACAGTCCGCACTTGCGGTCATAGTATAGTAAACAATAAGATACCCCTTCATAAAAATGTAGTCTTTCATTATCATAGCTTAAGATAAATAAAGGCTCTTTGTACACAAAATAACCTTATACTAACAGTTTTAATTACAACAGTTATAATGTCTAACACGAATAAATCCACTGTTTCGATAACCCGTGGTTCATGTATGTCATTGACCACTGTTATGATAACATTTTGCAGCCATAACACATTGAAATTAGTCCGACAGTGAGAACTAGCACTATGCTTCAATTCCCAATAGCTTATTTCCTGTCTTTCCAATTAAAAACGTGCGTTGTTGGTCGTACTGTTTAATTTGTGAGTAGCAACTAGCAAGCTGACAAGCTCCCCACGTTTATTTGTCATTAACGTTAATAATGTGTCGGCGTTGAGTGGGCGTCCGTTTGTATATGATGTTAACTGCTGTCGCTACTTTCTTCTGATACCAAAAATGTTATTACTTTTGTTTTGTTCACATCGTTTATCTTTTGAAGGTCATTGGTAGCTGCTTGATAGCATCAATATCCTATCGCAAAAAAAAGTAAACCGACAGATAGGTTTAAAGGTTACATATTGAGACTGGTTTAATGAATTTTGAGATATGACTTAACGATATATCAGTTATTTTATAAATAACATAACGTTCGGTATCG